AAATAAAACAAAAATAAAATACATTTAAAACCTTACTTTCATTACCCACTTTCTGGGACTCCCCCTCCCCCATCCCTACCATATTCCCCTTTCATAACGTTGGTTCTACAAGCTCTCACTCCCAATTTAAAACTTAATTTGTTTAACCCAATATTCCAATTTAAATTTATACAATCATCATCATTACCTTAAATAAAAATCAAAGATTCTTTCCCCAAGGTCCACCCCATTTTCCTTCCACGAATTCCCTTTTTTTTTAACGCCCCAACAAACTATAAAAAAAACCCATGTAAAGATATAAAAGATAAAAAGTATATAAAAAAGATTCAGAAAATAATTACACAGCCTTTGGATTCTAACTCTCCCCCCCCTTCCCCGGTTTAAATTCCCCATGTCCATCATTCTGTCTGTTGTCTGCCTGGAAATCTTAGATCCGTAATCAGATTTTCCCCCAGTTCCTTGCCAGTTTTTTTAAAGTTATTTTTATGGTATTTAACTTCAAATCTCCAATCCAAAAACGGCCCCTAAGGGCCTTTAGTTTCCTTGGTCTTTAAGGCTCCCCCCATTGTTCTTTCCATGTTGTAGTCCAGTTTCTTGTCTTGTTCCGCTGCTAAAACGTTCTAATTCAGAAACTTAGTAGCTCCACAGGGGTTGTTGTTATTCAGGAACAGAAACTTATGTTCAGTCCCTTCCTTTCTTCAATAGAGAATTCTATTGTCTCCTTTAATGTAAACACCCCTGTAGACAAAATACTTTTTCACTTTTGCAGCTTTCCCAGAAGATAGCAAGTCCTGTACAATTCCAAGAGTATTTTTCCACTTACGACCATCTTTGTAATGTCCCTAAACCCCTCTAGGGGGGTTGTAGTAACTTTGTTTCCTCTGATCCAAAAGTCCGATTGTTGTTCCATATTTTCAACATTTTGTATCCAAATCATAGCAAATTTGTAACGAAATTAACTAGCAAAGTCCTCATAGCAGAGCCCTCTTTAAATTTTCCAACTTTGACAGCTACTTTGACAGCTGTCAAAGTCTCCGTTTCTTTTCACCAGGCTCTCTCGCGAATCGCCCTGGTTCCCAGGGGGGGTTACGTTTCCCTTCTCCCTCCATTCTTCTCCTCCAGCACAGTTCTTGTAGTTTCCCATCGTGGAATTCTTAATTTTTGTCAGAGATACGCTTCTTTCTAGACCTTGGTTACCCAGTCCATGTTTTGAAATGTTTACAGTAGGGAGGGGGACTGACTTCCTTTTTGGATCCCCCCCCCCGCTCGTGCCGAATCCGCAAAAAAGATTCCTTTTTTCCTCCTTTTAAACCCGGTTTCCAAATTACTCACGGGTTGTTGTTAAAAGTCCGAATTTTCAATGGAAGAAGTCAGCGCTCTCCGCCGGATGGCATGCGGCTTCGCTCGGCAGGGAAAGCAGAGGACTCAAAGCACCACGCCACTCCCCGGCACCCGATCCGTAGCCTTTAAAAAGGTTCCTTCACGAGTCGGGAGGGCGCTAATGGTGCCAGCCGAGTCACCCATGTCCACGGGCTCCGTGCCCGTGGTTTTTAAGGGTCCCCGCGTCGCCGGCGCAGTAGGACCCAGCCCCTGCCGAGCAGGCTCCCTCCGGAGCTCGGAGGGAGTCCGCCATTCGGCGATGGCGCCAACCCGGAAGTCCGAATGGGTTGTGATATTCTGCAGGGCAGGCAGCTTGAGAGAGTCATAAGCCAAGATGATACATACCCTCAGCCAGCATGCTAGCTTTTCTTACCCCAAGAGGGTGGAAAGGAAGAAACAACACCTCTGTCAACCTGAAGTCCTTAGTCTGGCTGATACAGACTTTAAGCACCCAGTAGATGATCCACTATGTGTCAGGCCTTCTCTAAGGGATGAATCCGGTTAGGCCAGAAGGAGGTTCTGGTTGTAGTAAAAACTTGTATTTGTCTTAGGCATGAATGATAGATCCATACAAAGAATCACAGTCTTTCCACACAGTCTTTCAGGAATATGCATAAGGCACTCAATTCCAAAATAAGCCATGTTGATGTGATGGCCACCAAAAGGAGGAGCTTATGAGAAAGGATGTGGAGAGGAACAGTTTGGAATGGTTTGAACACAAGAGTCTTTAAGTTCCTCGAATGAAAACGATGCACCACAGGAGGACATATAGGGATGCCCTCTTTAAAAAAACACTTTGGCTGGGAATAAAAGCCAGTTGAAACTGTTTGAGGAGGTAAGTGATGCCTGTGTCAAGTCAACAGTAGCAGTACTGAAAGCCAAAAGCATGAGCAGGGCAGCCGCAAGACTCCTTCTCAGCGGATTGCTGGGAAGAGTTAAACAATTCTGCCACTCTGGCTCCCATTCATCCATCAGCTCCAGATCATTGTCTCTGCCATGCAGTTATCAAAGAACAGGGAAGGGGAGATAGGCACTGCTGCTGGTAGATTTTTCAAGTCCCATATATTGCACCCTATGTGGTGGCTGATCCAGCACTGCCTTGGCACTAATTGCATCAGCAACTGCTGCAGTAGCTGAAGTGGTTTTCTTTTGGGTTTGGGGGGCACGGGGTGTGTGTGTGTCCTGAGAATTTTAGGAGCTATAGCCATTTGGGCAGTTAAGGCAGAGGACTGACAGAGCACAGAAGCATCAGTGGCTGATAAGGCTTGCTGTACTGAAAACCAGGGCTGATTGGGAGCATCCTTTGAAGAAAAACCAGCTGTCGTAGTTGAAAATGTATCAGGTCTTGCTGTCAACACATGCAGTGGTATATGGGTGTGGTGGATTAAGTTCTGTGGCTGGAAAAGCAGCAAACCAAGCCCCGAAGAATGGGGACCACCTGCCTCCACACATCCCCCCACCAAGTCAGAGACGGATAGGGAGGAAAGAGAAACAATACATAGGCCAAAAAGAAGGGAGGATGAACAGCGAGGGAAATGACCAAACAAAATGGTGGGTGGGAACAAAGGCCAGGAAAAAAATGTGGATTGGCAAGAAAGAGAAGGAGGTTTTGTTTAAAATTGCAAGTCAAAAATATTTATATGTGTTAGGAAAGAATGGTATGTGACTCATAGGAAACAATTCAAAATAGCTATATTCTATATATGGCTTGAGCTAGCATGTCAGTTAAATTAATCTTGTTTTCAAAGATGAGCTACTTGCAACCTGTAGGAACATTTCCATTTTTTCAGGAATAGTAGATATCACTTTCTCTATTTTGTTTATTTCCTTCATGTATTAAAATATACATTTTGAAAACAAACAAACAAACAAACAAACAAACAAAAACCCAAATTCTTATTTGAAAGAATAGAAGGAATTCCATATTTTGAAGGGCTTCAGGACAGATAGTCTTGAGTCGTGTGTGTCACTTACTTGATGTAGTTTATTGATTGCAAAGCAGGTTTCAGTTCTCCAAGGAAACACAGATAGCTATCACTAGCATGTGGTTATGGAATGTTAGATGTACAACTGTTGCTTGATCAATAATAAGTTTGTTGTGATTTTCCTTGGATACAATATGTAAAAACCCTCTGGATTTAAGCTTAGAAATAGCCATGTTGTGTTATTTTGTTTACAGTCTCAAAGGGTTGTTTATCAGGACATGAATGCACAAAGAGTTGGAAGAAAAAATATTCTTCCCAACAGCTAAAATATGGAGTTTAGTAGACGACAGCAGTAAGAATCGTACAATGAAATATGGTTCCTTTTCTTAGTGTGTTTTGAATTAAAATCAGCATGCCTGCTCCCTCCAATGTTATGAAGTTATACTTAGAAGTATCACAAAGCTACGAGATAAACTGAGAGATTTGTTTTTATTAATGTATTTAAAAGATCTCAGTTTGCATCTCACCTTCCACCTAACATAATAGACTCAAAACAGGTTACAAACTTGAAGTCCCCTTTTAAAAAAAAGAACAGTCTTGATACTATACTGTTTAGTTATATTGTAGTTCATTAACAGCCTTCCTCAGTTTGGGGGCTTTTGGTTATGTGTACATTTCATCATGTGCCTTCCATTCGGGACTTTTTGTCATGTGCTTATTCTCTCTCCCACTTACCCTTTCCCCCCTCAAACTCCTGCCTCTTTCCTTGTCCTCTTCTCCTTATTGTCTAGGACAGGCATAGGCAAACTCGGGCCTCCAGATGTTTTGGTACTACAACTCCCATCATCCCTGACCACTGGTCCTGTTAGCTAGGGATGAAGGGAGTTGTAATTCCAAAACATCTGGAGGGCTGAGTTTGCCTATGCCTGGTCTAGGATCAACCTTTATCTTCTAGGTCGATGACTTTTAAAAATATTTTTCTTCCCTCAGTCTTTTACCTGGCCTGCTCCTGTTAGGATTAGAACAGATCAAAGGCCCTTAGGAACACAGGATGCTAAGCCCATCTAGCTCTGTATTCTGACTGGCAGGAGTTCTCCAGAGTTTTGGGCAATGAGCTTCAGCCCTCCTGCCGACTTAGCCCCAGCCCTAGCCCCACCCTCGGTCCCATCCACATCATACATTTAAAGCGCATGGCTTCCCACAAAAAATCCTGAGCTACAATTTCCAACACTCTGTACAAATTGCAGTTCCCATGATTCTTTGGAAGAAGCTATGTGCTTTAAATGTATGGTGTGAATGTGACCAAGCAGGCAGTAGAGTTAGATATTGCTAGAGGCTTTGCTATTATTATCAAATTCTTAACAACGCAATCTTATGCATGTGTATTTGGAAGTAGTCTCTCTGTGTTCAACTACTCCCTAGTATGCATGTTTAGGATTGCAGCCTTGAGAGTACTGAATATAGACTGGTTTCAAGTTTACCAGATTCTAATGACACTATTTTCCTCAAACAAATCTGCTGCAGGGTAAAATAATGTACATTCAAGCGCCGCTTCCTATCCACAGTTGAAACCAATGTTCAGATTTTGGTGCATCATTACCATACTGGAATCCAGCCATTACACAAAGATAGACGATTGTTACTCCTTCTATAGGATAAATGTCTGTTTGTCTTAAAATATTACATCACACTTACTTATACAGGTTCTCCAATGGTGCAGTTAAAAAGACAGCTGCTGCAAGTAAATTGTTGCAATACTTGTGTATTTTATAAATACGACGATTTCTGTCTTTTTGTGGGAACAACAGTTCTTGCACAGAACTGCAAACTGACCACAGCATGCTTTCACAGGTCATCAGAATTGCTATAACATCTATTCTGTAAGAGACAAAGCAAAAACCCTGAAATCAATCGAGGCATGCAATTCAACCCATTCAATCAAGTAATCTGCTACAATGCAGAAATGATTTTTATAGACAAGTGATCTCTTTTACATTATTTAAAATCATCAGGAATTTTAAGTAATAATAATATAATCTTGTCCCTGGCACAACATTCCCAAAGTATATACAGAGCTCTCATGTTTCACTTTCCCCACTGATTTCAAGAAATGAAGATTATCTGTGGATTAGCTCCCTCCATAGATATGAATGAGGAAGGAATTCACCACTTGCACTGTTATACATGTGCAAGCTAGGATTATAATTTGCTAAAATTTGCAATTTTATCCAATTCTGAATACACCAAATAAAACATTACAACTAAATATATTTTAATTTCTCTGTTCCTTACACCTGTTATAAAATGAAAATTGAATATGTTCTTTTTCTGTTTTCTTCAGAGCTTTTTATCCCCGGTTCTTAACAAATTTCAGAAACAATACTGAATATGAGTGGAATACATTTTAAATAATTTATATATTCATTTGATTGTTTGCTTTATAATATTTAGACACACATATTTTCTTTTCCAAAAAGGAAGGTAAAGGTAAAGGGACCCCTGACCATTAGGTCCAGTCATGACCGACTCTGGGGTTGCGGCGCTCATCTCGCTTTATTGGCCGAGGGAGCCGGCGTACAGCTTCCGGGTCATGTGGCCAGCATGACTTAGCCTCTTCTGGCGAACCAGAGCAGCGCACAGAAACACCGTTTACCTTCCCGCCAGAGCGGTACCTATTTATCTACTTGCACTTTGACGTGCTTTCGAACTGCTAGGTTGGCAGGAGCAGGGACCGAGCAATGGGAGCTCACCCCCTTGCGGGGATTCGAACCACCAACCTTCTGATCAGCACATCCTAGGCTCTGTGGTTTAACCCACAGCGCCACCCGCAAAAGGAAGACATTAGTTTAAATATTCATGGCACAATTTTATATAAAGAGTTTTGGAAACTGGTGCCCTTTCCCCATTCCTTTAGTATACAAGTTCCATTTTATATTGATTTCTCATCATGGGCTCCAAATGTGCTTTCTGAGTACCCTCTCTTTTCTCCCAAGATTTCTTTGCCACTTGCCCCATCTCCCATTGTTTCATTATGGTTCCTCTATTATTACTTTCTTGCTTTTGTATGAACATGCTATATTATGATAACTAGTATATGCCAGAAGCTGTTTAAGAGTTACATAGCTACCAGTTAACGTGGTACTGTAAATGTCTTTGGCATGACAAAGGAGGAACAGTGAGTTGTAAAAAAGGATTGCAAAGACTATGGATACAACCTACATCCCACTGGCATTAATGACAAAGCACACATTTTGATTGTAATAGGGCAGGATTGCTATCCAAACAATGTATACATCTGCCTATCAGATTTTCAAGAAGAATGAATCAATTGTCATGATTTCAACAAAAAGCAAATAAAGTACAGAATCTGCAGAGAACAGCAGAAACAGATCAGGACTCAAATACTCTAGCAGCTGAATTTGATCATACTTCTAATTCCAGAATTAATATTAAAAGCCTGCTCTGCTACACAATAGAGTATGTATGTTCTCATTCTTCTTAATTATAAAGAAAATTAAATCTAGAAATCACTAGGGTGTTTCCATTCTTTATGTATGCTTACAGACAATAGTCTAAGTATTTTCATATATACTGAAATCTATAAATCCTCTGTATAATGAGGTTATACACACAAGCAACATTTTGAAAAATAAGTTCCTTTGTAGTTTGTACCTAGATGCTGGAAAATATGTGACATTTGAAGGATGGATCTGCTTTAGTCTACCATGTTATTATTTTTCTGTAAAAATAAAGCTTTGTATATTGCACCATATATATTTATTTTGTAGCTTTTACTTCCACTGCTAGTTGCTTCCTGTCATTAGCCATTTTTATCATCTCCTTGGTGAATATCATGCCCACAACTAACCTTGGAAACATATCGCATATTGAACTTAAAGGTTAAAAGCTGCAGTATGAATGATCAAAGGCATACAATTTTGGTGAACACTGAAAAGATACGCAACTACAGCTTGGACTAGAAAAAGCACTTTTTCATGCATGAAAAACAAATTTCCAGGGAGATATTATATTGTTTTTAGAACAATTCACAGCAAACCATGGGCTCCAGCAGAGCTTCTGGTTTACAGTAAGCACATAAGCTTGGACAAACTGATGTCTCAACTATAGTATTTTAAATCAAGCTAACTTGTTTCAATAAACCACAGTTTAGGAGAGAGGTTGCCAATGAGGTGCCTATAGAAGAGAAGCAACGGTAGCTCTAAAATTTTCCCTTGAAGTACTCATGAAGCTTCTCAGTCACCCCTTCTACTCACTATACCTTGGTCATGAGGTGGTTTAAGCTGGTTACCTTCTTCTCCCTTGAGAAGTACAGAGAGCTGCAGGAGAGTGATGATTTTTCATACTTCCTCTTTCAACTCCACGGGTTTCTTAAGTTGGATCTACTGGATCCAACTTTTACTTAGATTACTTGGAAAAGCAAAGAATATGTATAGGTGTCTGTGTGTCTGTGTGTGTGTGTGTGTGTGGTCACTTTCTGTGCCTCTGTGGGGGAAGTGGAGAGAAATTGCCAGAGGGGACATGGCCCACAGTTCTCACCAAAAAGTCCAAATGTAACCACAGGCCAAAAAATGTGGTGATCCCCTAGTTCAGGTTTGTATGCCATGTTAACCTAAAACAGAAGCAGATGCTTCTAATCTCATCACAGCTACACTGGAGAAAAAGGGAGGCATGGGTTTGCAAGCCAAATGCTCACTGTAGCTTGTTTGTGTATCCCTAAGCCATGGTTGTATTGTTACATTTGAATGCAGAAGAGTTTACTTAACATTCACAGAGTAAAAAGTTCAGGCACAAAACAACAATGCTTAGGCATAAAAGAAAATTAACCTTCTATAAACGATTGGATGGCTTCCTCAGTCTTATGCTTTAGACAAAACTTTAAATGGATTTATTTCAACAGGCTTTTAATGTGTAATTTCTGCTGCTTTTTAAAAACGTTTTTATATTCATTGCTTGTTAAATTGTATAGTTTTGTTAGCTTGTATTGTCTTTAATAAGATATTTCATGATTATTTCATCTTAATTTATGTAAGTTGTTCTGAATGCTCAATAAGCAGAACAGGAAACAATAATAATACATTCACATCATCCACAGCGCAAAATTCAAATCAATCATTACCTTATCTGCGGTGTTCTCTTGTAACTGGGCTGGGCCTGAAAATATCTGCAAGCCAGGAGTGCCAAGGATTCCTCCAGCACTTCTGTTAAAATCTCCTGGGCTAGCACAGGGGGTAGAACAGTCCATAGATCATGATGAAGAGCACAGCAGAAATAATGCCACATCTGGATGGAGAATGAGCATCTTTCCCCCTGGCAAAACCAACAAATGTTAAACAATAGAAACCCATCTTCCTGAATGTCAGGTTGGATTCAGTGAATCTAATCCATTCAGGCCGAGAGGAAATAGTTGAAAAGTATGAACTGCTGAATAACTAGACCAGAAACCTTGCAAGATGCAAAACATATTTCCCCTCCCAAAAACAACTCATGTCTTGTTTCAGTTGGGAAAGCAGTTTTCTTCCAAAACCACAAACATTTGACCTACCATAAACTTACCTTCCCCAAACCTATTTTGGATAAGCATGCTGTACTGTGTAGTTACTCATTTACGAAATTGTGTACAAGTACTCACCATCCCTGCTGTGATCAAGGGCAAATCCCATTGTAAAAGGCTGACCAACCATGAAGCAGTTACTCTTATTTAGACTCTTAATTGCTACTGAGAATAACTTTCTATGCAGCTGTCACCAGCAAGCTAATACATCTCCAGGTGCTCCAACTTCTTCACTGAAGGCCATAAGTAGATGTTTTCCAAATGGGGCATTTATATCCACATTACAAGTTGAGTTATGTTTTATAGAGCACAGGTAACTCAGGCTGAAGTTCTACACATTCTTACCTGGGAGCAAGCCCTATTGAACAAAATGGGAACTACTTCTGAGTAGACATGCATACAATTAAAGTACCCTTTGGAGGTACACGTGGCAAAAAATTAGAGGATCCTTGCTGAGAGCCTTAATCCTACCACAATATAAGAGAAAGTACCTACAGACCAACTGAATGAGTTAACTTATTTCCCTACATTGATAGATTATAGACATTATAATTCGACAGCCTATAAATACAGCCAAAGAGTTGAAAATACACCCAGTGTTCCTTACTGAATGTAAATGTTCATTCATTGTTATAATTCTTTTTAAAGATCCTTTAGCTATTTTATTATATTTTAACAATACCAGAAACAAATATAGTAACAGTCTAAACTCTGTGACAATTTTATGCCTCTCCAGATTTTTTTTTCATATAGCAGAGATTATTATAATTTCCTGTCTGATATGCAACATACTATGAAGTTCTATTATTATGGGTCACTATAATGAAGCATAACTATTTTTTAAAAAAACCTTACCAGTGAAGAGCTCTGCAAATAATGCTTCCAAGATTAGCATCAAATTAAATGATTTATATGTGGACATTTTATTAATGTTTTATCATGCATTTTATAATATACAGGTAAAGTCATTAACTGTTGAACATTTGCTGCAATAGCAGTAAATTATCAGTAGGCATTATGAGTAAACATTGTTAAAGTAATAGTAATATGAATGAATGAATAAATAAATAAATAAATAGGGTGATATCCAATATTAATCATACTCAGAGTAGACTCACTGAAATAAGTGACCTTCAGTAATTTAAGAACACTGATTTCAATGGATCTACGTTGTGTATGACTTTGTTGGATATCACTTTAGAAACTATTTAATAATTTATGAACCATTTTGAAGCCGTTTTAATTGAATTCAGTATTTATTTATTTTTTAAAGTATTTAAAATACATTTAAATATATGTTCTACTGGGTATATATCCTATACTCGGTTCATTGTGTTTTATGTAGTTATTTGATATTTAGTATCTGAAATTTCCAATATACCAGAATATATATTGTTCTTATTTAAATTATTCATATTATTTCATATCAAAGTAGATTCTTGGTAATAAATAGAATCCTCATTGAGATTTACAGGAAACCTTTCCCTGTTTGCTATCTGTTGTTATGTCAAAGTATCTGAATGCGTAAACATCTGCTATTTTTGCAAGCTTCATACAATAAAACATATGTGGGCTTTTATTTAAATTGTATGTCAAGAAACAGGCAGCTGGGCAGTACTACATAAGCCACTCAGTATTATCTACAAATAGACAACTTTATTTTTGACAACTAGAAAACATGCGTTTTGGAGATTGCAGCAGATGTTTGTTTCATTAAAAGCTTTATTTCAGTTTGGTAGCCAAGCAGGTATTCCATCTATTTAGTTGGTGAGATACTGTACTAGATTGTTTTCACATCACACCACAAGCTACTGCAAACTGTATCTGTTTTAGAGTGCAAATCCCCACTGCCCACCTTGGTTGTGGCATTAACTATGGTTCAGCTATCCAGAGTTTGAAATTAAGGTTCACTGTCATTTTGAAATATTTATATTCTGTAAAGAAGACAATCAGAATTACTACACTTCACATACTAGCTAATTATTTTATCCACCAACAAATACTGTGCTCAGTGCATAGCCATGGAAAAATTCATTGCTCCAGTGAGTGTTGATTGGTCATGCATGTTGACAGCAGGGCTGGCCCACCCATGAAACAAGATCAGGTGGTTGCCCCAGGGGGCAGATATGGGCCTGATGAGCACACTGCCACTGCACTCCGTGGGTGCCCCCCATGCTGCCTCCTGCTCTGCAGGTGCATCCTGCTGCTGCCTCTGCCATGGGTGCACCATGTGGGGGCATGGCAACACAGTAGGGCTATACCTGTGAAGGGGCACACGCACCATGGCAGAGCATTTTTCCTCAAGTGGCAAAATGTTATGGGCCAGCCCTGCTCCCAAGCAGGAAATCATTCAGAGGAAGCAGGCAGCTGCTTCTATGGGTGCATATTTTGGGATCATAGTAAACTATAGTTATTTTATGTATATACTTTCTTGCAACACACTGCAGTTCTTTTATGGCACAGTAGTTTGGAACAAAGTTTGGAAGTTACTTGATTCAACCAACTGGGGACATTTAACAGGAGTGTAGATAAGAAAATAATGAATTCATCTGTTTTAAAAATGAAGAGTACTAAAAAGCACACAAAGATGTACTCATACCAGAATGTAAACATCTAGAAGGACTTGATATTCTTTTGTAATTACATAATATTATAGCTTGGCCTTTATTCTTGACCATTGCTGCATGCACATAAAGCCCATTGAACTCAATGAGGCAAATGCACACATAGTTGTTGTATATCAGCAACCTTAAAATGTAACCTTGATTCCAGGTAGTATTGAACCTATGTTTCAAATTAATCAAGAAGAAAACAAAAGAAAGAAACATTTGTGTAAAAGGAAAAGCTAGTAAACTTAACATCACACCTCATAAAAAGCTTTGTAGTCATCCCAGTAGTGACTCTCAGCATCCTGTAAAATAGTTGTAGCACAAATTCTGATGCAGTAGTTTGTAACTTGAAACTGAAGAACACTGATCAATTCCTGATATTGCTGGAGAGGCATTAGGAATACAGGCCTGTTCAAATGATCAAAGAAGGAAAGATTTAAGACCAGTGCAGTAGGAGGTAACAACCCACAGTTGTACAAATGGTTTGGATTATTAAGTATCAATCATTCATTTCCTCTTGATTCTTGAATCTAAACCCACACTCACGTTAAAATCTGGTCTTTGTTACAGAGGCTCTTTGAAAATCTACTTCTACTGTTTTACAAATGTGTACTATACTACTTGGGCAAACAGCACCGTCAATCTACTGTTAAAACAATGCACATGTAGAATTATGTGGTACTTCTAAACAATACTTAAGGGATAGTTCTTTTTATTTAAAAAAGTGGTCTGGTAGGAAAAATACCAAACTGTTTGATACATGCACAATTATTATAAAAATATATACTATTATCAAGGTTAGCCCAAGAAAGGTTAGCCTCTTCTGACCAGGGTGGTGGTTTTGCTGCTACCCCCTTGCCTTCTATTCCCACCACCCCATCCTCCTCTTTGCACCAGCAGTGGAGCTGTTCTCCTCTTCCCCTGGCCACCCGCACTGCCTATTCTTTCTGCCTCAGTGTCTTGTTCTGAGGAAGAGGCAAGAAAATCCTTCCTGAAAGCACAACATTTCAGACACAGTGGCAAAGGGAGTACCTATGCCAACACCACAGCTTGCTACAACAGAGGAAGTTTATAATCCAATTGTCTGTAGTGGTGAACACAATAAGGGGAGGGGATAAAAATAAGTGAGGCAAGGTTATCAAGCACTCAATATCAGCTATTTCAACTACACATAGTTAGGCTTAGTTTTATTTGGGGATGTGGATTAAGTGAAAGGCAGCACTGAAAATGTGAATTTGGAGGAGGAAATTAGAGAAGATGGTGCAAAAGAAACTCCCAGGAAGGAATTCCAAATCTAAGGTGAAGAAAGGGAGAAGGGTTTTGAGACAGAAGCAACCTTCTGAAGAAGTCAAGGCCGCAGGAAAGGACCTGGTGAAAAATTGTGGCAGAAAGGTACTGTAAGTCAAACCCACTTCAGACGGGGGGAGAGCGTCAGAAGGGGGAAAAAATCCAGTGAATTTGTGTTGAATGCAGAAGCTGCTGAAGAAGAACATCACATGGTTTGAATTTCAAGAGAATTGAATGATTTGAGCAGCAGAGAAAAAGGAAGAGTAACAACAGAAGAGGAGAGAAAAAGACAAATAGAGTAATAAAATGGCATTTGACTAAAGTGGTATGGGGGAATTGACATGACATTAAAAAAAGGTAAAGGTAAAGGACCCTTGACAGTTAAGTCCAGTCGCAGATGACTCTGGGGTTGCGGTGCTCATCTCGCTTTACAGGCCGACAGAGCTGGTGTTTGTCTGCAGACAGTTTTTCCAGGTCATGTGGCCAGCATGACTAAGCTGCTTCTGGCGAAACCAGAGCAGTGCACGGAAACACAGTTTATCTTCCCGCCGGAGCGGTACCTATTTATCTACTTGCACTTCTTTTGGTGTGCTTTTGAACTGCTTGGTTGGCAGGAGCTGGGACCGAGCAACAGGAGCTCACCCTGTCGCGGGGATTTGAACCGCTGACCTTCTGATTGGCAAGCCCAAGGGGCTCAGTGGTTTAGACCACAGCGCCACCCACATCCCTGATATGACATTACCCTCTCCCCAAATCTGATTTATATGTAATATATGTATTTGTGTGTGTGTGCGCACGCGCGCGTGTGTGTGTGCATGTGCATAATATTATTTGTAAGTTGCTCCATGACAAAAAGTTTTCTGGGCAGCTTATAATAAATGAGTATAAATAGCTTTAAATACAAAATTATACATTAAACCACATATTCCAAGGCAATAAAATACAACAAGGAAAATAAAACTCACCACATCCACAACATTCAAACAAGATTTGAAACCCAAAGTGGTCCAGACTACACGAATAATTTTAAAGGTCTGGATGAAGAAAGACAGGGTTGGAACTGTTCTGTCTTAGACAAAAGTTTTAGATGCTTCTTTGAAGTTACAGTGGTATACAGAGTGAATGCTAGATCTTTGTAAACCAGGATAGAAAGAGAAAAATTCAAGGCACTGGCAGTAAACAGCACATTGTCTTAAGTTGTTTCTTTTAAATATATTTGTTGTATCACTGAAATGGACTTGTTTGATTTACTGGTATTTATGGGTGTTTTAATCAATACAACAGACTCACTTTCTAGTGGTATCTTTCATTAGATGCTGATACATATTAAAATGCTGATAGACATGCACTGCTGTGGAGAGAATAGTATACAAGTTCTGCAGTGGAGCTCTGGAAGGGACATCTTTACTTCTCTCCTCCAACCTTGTCAGGACAGCTGTTGCTACTTTGCAGCAGGCCTCTACAAAGTTTGCTCTAATTTCCTGGAGAGACTCATCTCTGCATGCCAGAGCCAGGGGAAGCAACATGTCAAGTTCCTCCATGATGTCAGAACAAAACTAGGAAAATAAATGTGACATCCAGTTAATTTTATACTGACAGCATTATTTATACCTGTACAGTACGACAAATACTGCATTTGGCAAAAGACAAATGTAAGCTTCATGTTGTTTTTACTTCATTATATTAAAATGGACATGTATACATGAAAAGCTTAGACCATGTAAGTTGAAGCTAATATTTGCCAAATTTATCTTTAAAAAAAAACCCTAGGAACAATTCAACAGCACACAGGGGAAGAAAGAGGGGGTCATTCCTTTGGCAAGCTGAAATGTAATGATGACTTTACCAGATTGAATTCCTCCATTGACATAGTTCCTATATGAAGAACTCTGTGATCTCCATAGATGCACACATTAACTTCTAATCAAGTGTCAAAACAGACAATAATAGTCGTTACTTGTTTTTGAGCTCAACTCCCTCTAAGTCCAAGCATGTTACATGAAACTCATTGATTTGATTGAGATTTTCATATAATGGTTATAAGTGACTGAGTCCTGTGCACCTAGATATTTAATGCTTTTTTACTCCCTCTTCCGCCAAGTGAATGAAGAGCACTGTTTACTGAATGCTTCAGTCAGGGCAGGGCGGTAGCCTCTAGTATGGGCATTAAACACATACTGTAGAGTAGTCACACAGTTGACTCTAAGTAGTGCTGCCATAACTCTTGCCTTCACTTTATAAAAACAAAAGTATCTTCTTATAAGCATGCACCTGGAACCCCAACTAGGTGAGGAAACATACTCTCTACCCCTTTTTACTGCAAATTGCCCCCTCCTGACATGCTTCTCAGAAGAGAAGCGGCAGTCAGAGTTTTAACAAGTGATGCGGTTGGAGACTGATTTGTTCCAGAGAAAGCCTCAAAAAGAGTCAGTTTATTCATTCAGTCATATAAGCAGTTAAACTCTACCTGGACAGTATCATTTCAGGCTGCAGTTGGATAAATTTTATGTTTGAATGCTATCCCACAAGAAAATCTCCCTGAACATAAAAAAGGACATGAGGAGGAAGGCTGGGCTGAACTGTTTTCCTTGATGCACTTGCTTTGTATGATAAGAGAGATTTTTTTGTTTAAAGATGAGCTGGTATTCAAACATGTTATACAGTCCAAGACAAGCTTTGCAATTTAAACTGACCGAAAGTGTGGAAGGAACTAGAGTAGAAGAGACTACTCTGGGTTGAGTTGTTTTTAATTAATCTTCAATCCCCTATACACAACTCCATGAATCAGGCTTTAATTTTTCTCCCACTGTAGCTTCAGATCTGAACCCCTTCTGCCCCTGTTTGTTTTTATGGTTTTATATTCATTGCATTTTAGACTTTCCCTAGTGAACTACTAATGTGTCTCAGTCTCATCAATGCATCTCCACCTACAAAATTAATTTCTTCGTGGGACAGAAATCTAGGCTATTTACTAAAATGGATACATTTTCTAAGTATTAAAATGGATACATTTTTAGTTTCTTAGAATATATGCTGAGATCTATAAAGCACTATTAAATAATTTAGCACAGGTTTTCATTCCATGCATTTGACTCTTAAAATACTGGAAGTGCAAGTACTTCAATGCTTTATGGGTAAACAAACCCGACATTCTGTAATCCCCTTAAAACATCAGATCTTTTGATACATGCCTTTGAAATTTGTTTTGGTTGTTCTTCCTCATGGACTACTTCCCTGAGCTCCTTCATGTGCTGTACCTTTACAATATGCATCACATAGCAGGCAGCTGAAGTGTGTTCATTCTGCTCATGTTGAAGAATTTTATTGGAAAAATCTTCAACTGCAATTGTTATACAGTGAGCTACTGAAGAGCACAGGTCTTTAAATGCTTTTCTCCAGCCGAAATCTAGTATGGTAGTCTGAAATATAGAAGTATACAGACAAAAACTGAACAGTCAAATGTTTCTGTTTCAATTATACCTAAGCTGATCAAATAGTCTACTAAAGCTCTTTGTATACTTAACACACAATATACTTGGAACTGACTGACTCTTTTCTTCTAGCTGTGGCGTGAAGCTGAAATTTGTGCTGCTGTGTTATGCCTCCTCTCCCAATCATTTCACAGGGGCCCATATAGGAAACATTTTAGGTAGCTTCCCTACCCACCTTCTCCACCACCCCGCATCATGTCCCTCCTCATCCCACTGGTATGAAAGTGCTTTTGTAAACTTGCCAGAGCCCAAGCTTCAGCAACTGTCAGAAGTGTTTGGCGACTGGCTTGGGAAATGGGAGGTCAGGGTTAGCTGGCAAAACAGGAACGTTTAACATTGCAAAATTTTAGATGGTCAAGGCTTTAATTTGCTATTCATTCCCATACCCCCACCCCTTGTTCTTCAAAGTTTAAGGGCAACAGCCTGCTCAAAATTTCCTTTTTTGGGGGGGAGGCATAGCCTCTTTAGTAATTACCCCTCAGTTCCAGAATATGCTTTGGTTGGTGTACAAACAAACCCAGTGATTATAGCTGAGTGACCTCTTTGCCTTATTGAGGTTCCTTTACTTAAAATGATCAGTTCACACATACTACAAAGAGAAGCAAGCCAGAAAGGGGAAACTCAAACTAAACTCACAGCTCAGGAAAGCCACCCAAGTCCTGGACCCAGATGTGTGTTTTTCTTCTCAGTAATGTGGGTATTAATTAAAGGCTGTTGCTGTTGCCTATGCCAACAGTGTCTACTTGCACTTCTTCAGAGAAATAATGTAAAGTGTTTTAATGCTATGGAACTGAGATTCTACCTGCTGTAATATCTATGTTCTCTGGCTGCTGTAGATGCTATTGCAGTCAGTTTTATTGTTATATTTCTTTTGTATATTAAATGTTTTACTGATGATTCCTATTCATTATAAAGTGTTTCAACCAAACCTGGTGAGACAGGATATAAACAAAATAAATAATTGTATCCAGCTGAGTCCCTACTAAGGGAAATCTTTTTGATCCAATTGAGGCTCCCATCAGCAGAAGCAGGGATTGAGGCAATTTCTGGAAATTGCCTCTGTCCTCTGCAGCTCTCCATACCACCTCCCATGCTGTCCCCCAAAGCCACACACACACTCCGCCACACACCCAAAGCTACTGGAGGAGGGGGACATTGTTCAGCTGACAAAATTGTCTGCTAGATCAGTCTTCTGTCACCAGGGGACAGCAATTGGATGCAACTCTGAAGATTCATGATGTTTTGATGATGTTTAAATAAAGGAACAACGTAGGTAAGAACTGCAGAGTTTGGGTTTTCTTTCTCAAACAGAAACTTGCTTTTGAAAGTGAGGGACTTTTGTGAGGTGCAATAGGTATCTGCCATGTAAAGACAAAAAGTAAACATTTTCACTGGTAAGCCCTTACACTTCAGTGTCACCAGTTCTTTGGATCCCAGCCCTAAAAGCTGAGAATAGCAATCCAGTTCATTTCTTCAGTAATTAGCTTTGTAATCCATTTGATGCCAAGCTTTGTTTCATTGATGATCAAAAATGTTGTACGTGTATATAACTTGGACTCTTGATACTTGGTTCTAGATTAACTGATTACTCCCCTATGTGTTCTTTATTCAGACTTATTAAGTTGCTGATAGTTGTTTAAAATTATATTTAAAATGTGATAGAACTGATTCATTAATTTTGGTGAGATGCAGCTCAAAAGCAATATATTTTACTGCTCAGACAAAGTGGGAGAACTCCCCTCACTCATATGCTCCACAGAGATCGCAGCACCAGTGTAGTTATGCATTAGCTCCAGAAAGTGGCTTGTTTCTTGGTTATGCTAGACTATGAGAAATAGATATGAGTGCTTTTTATTTGTAGGATGATATGGAATATATTAATATGAAAAGAGCCTGTGCAAATGGCCATCATAAATTGTAAGAGCAAGCTTATGTAAAAATAGATCCTCAGTTTTCAACACACGCCTGAAAATACTTTTGGAAACATCGGGAACATTAAATAAAAACTTACAATGGCACCTTTATATGTTTTTATGTTCACTGCCTTTCTGATAGCGACTTTGTTCTTCTAATAGTGATGCCACAAAATGGTTTAACAGCTTCTTTTATATTCACAAATTTTTGTATATGGTCTTTTTTCTTTCCACCCTTGGTCTTTGCAGGCTTAAATTACTAATAGCACTGAAATTATTAGCATCTTAGCATAAGGGATTTGTAATGAATATGTTAATAGGTCCTTATCTGTATTGACGGCACAGACAAAACAGGCTCCCAGAGAGTTTGACTCTTTATTTTACTCACCTCTTTTACCTGAAGTAACTGTTCAGGAAGCACACTGGTTTCATTTGCTCTACTTTCCCCTATTAAAAGCTCCCCACCAGCTTTCTTCAGAACTCCTGCACAGTATGACAAACGGGATCAAAGTTAAGATTAAGGCTGTGGAAAACTTGATATATCAATACATTCTATAAAGATATTCAGCAAGCTGCAGTGGAATGTTAGTAATGAAATAAAAGTAAAATTCAGGTTGCAAACAAAATTCTCTTTTCGATAACTACATTTTTGTTTTACTCAATGATATATATAGTATATACAATATTTAGATATTTAAATGTTGGAATCAACAGTCTATTAAGATACTTACATAAAAATATCAGTAACTTAGAAAAAGTCAGTTAAAAATAAAATATTCAAAACTTTCTAACAATTGGAATCTACAGACTCCCAACTTGCTGGTGTGGGAGATCGGTCCCCAGCTCATTGCAGCATTTGACATGTTTGTGGGCTGCCAGTGACAGACCCATATCTTTAAACAAAAGTTTCTCTCAATCATATGTAAAGTAGGAATTGTGCAATTTAGAGCACAAATTGGAGCCTAGCAGGAGGCACACCTGCTCATGCACACTTCTGCTTCTCTCACTACCGTACTTTCCCTGAGAAAGCCTGCTCTTTACCGCATAATTGGAGCAAACAACAATCAGGTTTTCTGTGGACTGACGTTTGCTCCGATTCAGTGGTAACGAGTGGGTTTTCCTGGGGAAAGCGATGGGGCAAATGGAATACTGCTTGAACTCATGCTTCCTAGGCAAGCCAAGTGTGGACAGAGCCAAGAGTTCCACAGGCTCCCTGAGATTAAGTGGTGGGAAAAAGCAGTAATGCTGCTTGTCATCTGCATATTGGCAATGTTGCTGATCCAATGTGGTGTACTAATTAGAACATGGTATTAGGATCTGGCAAACCGACACATTAAGCTAACTTGGGCCAGTCTCTCTCAACCTCATGGGTAGTTGTGAGGATAAATGGGGCAGCGGATTAAACCTATTGTTAGAATTATTAAATATATACCACTTACACACCAAAATGGCTTCCACATGGTTATTCCACAAGAATAAACCAATTATAATATATATATCCAAACATAATTAAAATGTGTAACAACACAATTTCATCAAAACATTAAAAACATCCATGATTAAAATTTACAAAAATGCAAACAAACAAAAACAGCACAACTCTTAAAACAGTTGAGCCTAAACTTGAGAGCACTTATACTGAAGGGTAAGATAGAAAAAATACTTGGGGGGGGTGAGACAAAACCTCCAGTGGTTTCATGTGTATGCTTGAAAATCATGGGGGACAAGATACAACCTATAGGCATAGGGTGGAACAGTTATCACCCAGCACTACCTTCTGCTATCAGTTATATTTCTGATCTGTGACTGTAATAAATCAATTCATTCATTCTTCTGTAATCAGCCACCCAGGAAGGGTGTAATATTGTAATATTCTGCATCCTGGCTCCAATCCAGTCACAGAAGGACACCCATAGTTGATTATATCAAAAGCCTCAGAGAGGTTGAGTAGAACCAAGTGTTGTAATCATTCAGTCGCCAGCTTTAAGACATTCATCACAACGACCAAAGCTCTTTCTGTCTCAAAGCCAGTCCTATCCAGTCTTGAATATGGATAGGAATGGGTTTACTAATCAGTTTTCTCCTAAACCAGTGGGGTTGAAAGCCCACCACCCTCTCTAGTATCTTGCTCCAAAAGAGATTAGACTGGAAGGTAAATGTCTGAGTTCATAGGGTCTAATCTTGAGGATTTAGTTCCTGAATTGGTACCAGCAAGGACTGGTACCAATTTCGGGAACTAAACAAACACAAGCTAATATCTGCTGATTCTTTAAGGGCAACAGAGACTATGCCCTCCCTTAAGGAAACAAATTTACTATTTCTGAAATTCAAGTTTTGAAATCCACTCTGGCTACTGTTAATAATCATAGTGGCTGGAAAGTGCTTGTGCCACTTTATACCATTCAGTGATTTATAGTTTCTGTCTTTTATTTGCCCAGAAATATATAAACATTTATAGAAAAGAGGAAATCAACAACTGCAAATGCTTGTGTTTGCCAAGGAATCCAGATCCAGATGATTTACATTATATACAAAAACATACGGTAAACAAAGGACATGAATCTCTACACTACTTTAACAAGAGAGATCCCTTAAACACATTTAAAATTGACACTTCACTCTTTTAAAAGCTAATATAGTATTACTACTATATGTATTTTAAGCAGTCAAATAAATATCCAAAAGGATCTGCAAGGCAGTATTCTTTCCCATAGTTTGCCCAGGGCAATGTGTGATAGTCATAGAGAAAAGGGATCTGGAAGAAAATTTAGCACCACATAAATTATTATTTTTAAATGGGGGAGGGGAGATTTGCAAACATTTTGAGTGAGAATTTTATTTGTTAGTCCATTCCAATAAAGTGCTAACAAGTTAATGAAAATAAAGTATTTCCAGCTGCTATGTTCTCAGTGTACATTCCATCTCCCCATCACCATGTTTCTTGAAAATAATCTTTATGAAAGAAGCTGCTGCTGCTATTTTTAGGATCTACACACAGAGACAAAACTAACATTATATGATTTAAAAGGCTACCCATTACAGCAGTGACTTTGTAAACGTGATCATGTTATTCTTTTACAGTGCTTTCTAGAGATTTATATGAAGTAATAGATTTCTTCTTAAGCTGTGAAGGGAAGACCTTTGCAAATCTTTCTAGTCCCCTGAGGCAAAGCTTGAAAACCTAAGGCCTTGACAAGTTTGCCCAGAGTGGTTTCAAAGAGCTCCACTGGAAAAAGCTTTTCTTGGCACTCATTATCAGATCTGTCTAAAGTTCACCTTTCTCGCTGAAATGGAGAAAAAAAAGGTGAGAGGAAGATGAAAAGTGTGTTAGATGTTTTTGAAAATCTCAACAAGAGACTTCTGAAGGACCAGAGGAAAGAGAAATCACACCAGAAGGGCAGAAGGAGAATATAATTTGACCAAGCATTCTTCATTCCAAATAAGAATGTTCTGCTTTATCCATGACTGCTGCTGAATGTTCCAGGTTCCTTCAAAGGATCATATTGCCTGTGATAATGAACGTACTAGGTATGTCTGAACATTCCACTACTTTAATTGCAGTGTATAGCAAGAATGGAACAGCAGGAATGGACAAAGGAATGGAGAAAGAAAAGGTTAATTTTTTTCAGCTGGTACCTGACAAAATCAATGTATTACTCAAATTTTGGTCAATTTTAGTTCTAGAAAAACAAGGAAGCGAAGTCAGAATACACTCAAAGTACCAAATCTTAGCTGAAAATGACAAATATAACCCCCTTGCGCTGATGACACAGAATTCACGGTGGGAAGAAGAACATTTTCACTTTTTCCATTATTCAAATCAAATTCATATTAGGTTAAGAATTCATTATGCATTTTGTTTCAATCCATGTTTTTCTAAGCCAACTGTTTTTGCATTCATGCAACTGAAGACTTCTTTCAGATTGCTCTTTTTAACATTTTGGTCAATGTTTTTTCCTGATACTTCACGTATATATGGCCCTCAATGAGAACTAGTTGTGTTTCTTAGTATAAAGACAAAGAATTAAATGTAAAAAGAAAAGTGAGCATACTGAAATCAAGTGGAGCACTTTTGAAATTATTGTTCTAAATGAAGTTCTGCGTTTTATAGAAGCAGATGTAAAAGAATCAAATTCCAGAGAATTTAAACTGAGATAAAAAAAAAGTCCTGATTACTTCAGCATATATTCTCTGATAAATGTTCATTTCCCCCCACTATGTCCCTTGGTGCTATTGTCTGCCATGGGATTACAATCAGAGAGCATCAGTAGGCAGTGCTTCCTTGAGTTGTAACTTCTATTTTCTGCCACCTAAATTGGCCTTCATAGGTTTCCATTGTGCAAACTGCAAAGGAACTTGTCTTGATGGCAGCGAGAAGTAGTGTGAACTACGCATCTCTCTTTTCTTCGCAGGGTTTTTTTTTTTTTTTGGTTCACAAGCAACCTCCTACCAAAAGCAGAATCTGCAGAAGAGACTACTTCCAAGGGATAATGCTATGAAAACGTATGAAGAGAAGCCCAGGTGGCCACCTTGCAAATTTCCGATGTAGAAGCCTTCGACCTCTCCGCCCAAGCAGCAGCTATAGTCCTAGTGTAATGAGCTTTACAAACCCTGGGAGCCACTTTACCCTTAACTACATACGCCTCCCTAATACAGTTCCTTAACCATCTAGCTAAGGAACTCTTAGAAGCCATTTGACCCCTCTTAAGACCCCCTAAGAGTACAAACAATCTGTCAGAAGATCTGAAATCTTTGATTTTTCTGAGATAAACCCTAAGTGTTCTTCTTACATCCAATTTATGCAGCCATTGCTCTTTGTCATCGCTGGGTCTAGGGGAAAAAAATGATGGCCAAGAAACCTTCTGGCTTAGCTGAAACTCACAATACCACCTCTGGCAAAATAAAATAAAATATGAGTAACTTCTCAAAGGACCACTTTATTTTTGATGGAGCTTTACAAATGTTCTGTACATCAAATCTAAAGGTTCCGCATGATATCCTGAACAAAGAAAAACTAAACTTTCTGTTCTAGTGTTAATTTTTTCATTTGTCTAACTAACTTCAGTATAATGCTAATATGAAAATAGTGCAGGGCTCCAATTTATTCCATGCTGAGAAAACCCAGCCCACAGACAAAGTAGCCTAGTTGATATGAAGTGCAATACCTTGACAAGAAATATGGTGGCACCATCCAAAGTACTCTGCCATTGCACTTCTATATTGCTTTGAGATTAGCAGGTTACTAATAGGTCTTTCCTTCTGGCATAAGCCCTGCAAAAAATACTGCTGCCCCTCCCAATGACTTGCTGCTTCCTAAAACACACTTTCAACCCAGATCTCCCCACTCTGAGCAATAAACTAATTATAATTTTGGGCGATTATTAAATCTTCCATCATCTTATAGCTAGAAAGTTCATATTTATGTTAATTATGAAAAAAGTGAGAAAAAATATTTCAAAAGACTCCAGAGTACACCAGAAATAAGTTGACATTACAGGATTGATAAAGAGGTATGTTATTTTCTCATCCCAATTATTCTATCTACTGAATTTCTACAAGGCAATTCTTTTGAAGGAAAAATAAGGTAAGTGGGGGAAATGTACATTACCTTGAACATTTCTGTTCTCAGAAAAACATGGTAATAACAGCATTTCTGAAGATAGTTCTTCAACCTTTTCTTCCATCAACAAAAAAAGCTTTATAAGCTCAGAAAGACATCTGAGTTGATGTAGTGTCAAACAGAAGTTTCTCCCTTTTCTAGAACATTCTTGAGCCGCTGCAAAACAAGTGGGAGAAATTAATTTCATACAATATCTATATTGTAGCATATATATATATAAGTGCACTAAAATACATCAAATGTGATATATATTATCTCCTACATAAACATTACTAAAAATGATGTCTATATAAAGAATACTTGTATGAAATGTAGGTCACTATAGACAAAAATTTAAAACTTTTTTGATGCCTCTGAGAAGGGACTGTTTTTCTTAACCAGGCAAGTTCATAAAATTAGTGTTGATTTCTCAAATCCACAAGAATTGTCTTATGATGTACAACAAAGTTGTATATTGTCATTGATACTGTTCAACAGTTGAACATCTATGAAATCATTGGAATAAATTATCCAAACATCTGCGGTGAGATGTTAATATGCTAAAGAAACCCAGCTCTATTATTTATTTTCAAAAGTTACATAACCACAGATCACGGCCTAGAATAACTGTCTAGGGACCCTCTTAGATTGAATGAAAGCAAGTAGCTGGAGACTGAATCCAGGCAAAATGGGGATAGTGAGGTTTCCTATTCAAGTATATCCATGTCCTGCCTTTCTTTATTTTCATTTATCTAACTACATTTCTGCTTTTGGTTTTCCTGCCTCCCTAAATTGGCTGCCATCTCTGAGCTGCCCCTACTTGTGCAAGATATGGATCTAATTATTCCTCAACTCTGTCTTAGTTCTTTCATGAGATCTGCCACAGCTTTCTATCTAGACCAGGGGTCAGCAAACTTTTTCAGCAGGGGGCTGGTCCACTGTCCCTGAGACCTTGTGAGGGGCCAGACTATATTTTGAAAAAAGAAAAGAAAAAATGAACGAATTCCTATGCCCCACAAATAACCCAGAGATGCATTTTAAATAAAAGAACACATTCTACTCAATGTAAAAACACCAGGCAGGCCCCACAAATAACCCAGGGATGCATTTTAAATAAAACGACACATCCTACTCATGTAAAAACATGCTGATTCCCGGACCTCTGCAGGCCGGATTTAGAAGGTGATTGGGCCAGATCCGGTCACCAGGCCTTAGTTTGCCTACCCATGGTCTAGACTCTGTTCTTACTCCTGCTGAAACTTGTAATTCCAGCACTAAGACTTAGCTACCTGAAGCCCAGAATTTACATTCTGCAAGTAGTGAAATCTTCGTTATACCATATTAATGACTTTGGCTATGGCATGTTCTTTTGTGTATGTGTAAATAAAGATCACGTGTATTCTAAATACCACCAGAACAGAAAAGTCAACTTAGTTGACATAGTAAGGTGCTTCATTCTGTTTTGCATTGTTCTCACTTCTTTCAAAGTCCTTAAAAACACACACACAACCAACTTCCAGGGAAGAATGTAAGTTAAAATCAGCACTTCAGCATATAAATTACTAATGATTTCTGCAGCTATGTTAGACTATCAACAGTTTTAAACTCTTTGGGTTGTATCCCAAGCATTGCTAATGGAGTTCCACTGGCAGTTTCCTCTCCTCCCCCTGTGCGTCCCCCAAAACTGCAGAGGGTGCCTTAACCCTCTGGAGGTCCTTTTGAGAGCATGCAGGGGAGAGGAGGGGGAAGTTCCGTTCCACTAGGTCAAGTCTCTTAAACCAGCAAAACATTGGATACTACCCTGATTTTCTTTTTATTTGAAGAGTATTTATTTTAACATTTTTACACATTTTCAAGGCAGTTAATAAAAACATTTTAAATGTAGAAAATCTCTGTAGTGAAAATAGCAGACTGAGTAAATCAAATACACCCTTTTCTGTTTTAATAGTTCAAATCACATAAATATGCTGTCACTCTAAGTCACTCTGTCATTTTCACACTGAATAACCAGATAATAAATTTGAGTGAAAAGAGAGGCTATCTCTTCAGCTTTAAATAAATAGAAAAGGGAAACAAGGAAGTTTGCTAATGAGCAAATATTAACAAGCCAAACAAAGGCTTGTATAAGCCAGCTCCCTGTAGAGTACATCCTTGAGGATCCTGCCATCTTCCATTCTGTGGGCATGACCAAGCCAGCAGAGACATTGCTGAGACAGGAGTGCAAACATACTGGGAATGTGGGCTTGGGAGAGGACATCTTTGTTTGAGATTCTGTCCTGCCACGTGATGCCCAAATTCCTCTTGATGCTGAGCATTTGGAAGGCATTGAGACATCGCGCCTTGCGGTTGTAAGCTGCCCATGACTCACTTCTATAAAGTAGCATGCTCAACATGCAAGCCTGGCAGAACTTCATCTTGGTATTGGTCATTAGCATCACATTCTCCCAAACCCTTTTGGAGAGGTTAGCCATTGCTGTAACTGCTTTGCCAATACTCTTGTCCAGATTAGCATCAATTGAGAGGTTGCTGATTATGGTGGAACTCTGGGAGACCAAATTGTCTACCATCTCAAGCTTGTGGTCACCAATGCTGATGTGTGGAGTGCTGGTGATGTCCTGACCCAGGATGTTGTTTTTTGTCAGGCTGGTGGTAATGCCGAACTCCCTGCAAGCTTGGGCAAAATGGCTGATGAGTCTTTGTAGAGCTTCCTTGGAGTACACTGTCAAGACTGTGTCATCTGCAAGCATCTCTCGGATGGAGATCTGCCACACTTTTGTTTTGGCACAGAGATGTGCCAGGTTGAACAGAACTACATTACTGTTTTAATGAAAATACACACCATCTTCACTCGAGCTGAAGGTATATGAAAGCACCAAGGAGAAGAATTTGTCAAAGAGAGTTGGGGCAAGAACACAGCCCTGCTACATGTCACTCTTTATAGGGAAGGCATCCAAGGATTCACCATCAAAGACGATGGTGCCACACATGTTCTCCTGGAAGAAAAATATCATATTGTGAAGCTTAGATGGATATCCTTTCTTGTTGAGCAGTGTGAAGAGTCTCTTATGGCTGATGATATCCAAGACCTTTGTCAGGTAAATGAAGGCGATGTCCAATGGGCGTCTCAGTTCTCTGCATTTATCCTGCAGCTGGTGCAGTGAGAAAATCATGCTGACTGTTGACCTCTGAGCTCTAAAGTCTCAATGTGATTTGGGATAGACCCTGTTAGTGAGTGACTGTAATCTAATGTGTTTTACATTGAAGTATTTATTGTGTGTGTGTGTGTGTGTGTGTGCACGTGTGCGCTTAATATGTCAGAATGACTGTTTGTTGTATTTATATTCTTGAATAGTAACATTTAATTCATCCACACATTAGAAAGTGAAATTTGTCAGAATGCCTGACTGATGCTTATAACGTCTGGTAAAAGTTCATAAATGCTCATGCAAAAATAAATCTCAAAGGTGCCACAAGCCTCAAATTGCTTTTACGTTTTGTTTTTATTTCCACATGCACTTCTAGATTACATTCTAAACTTCAGTGAAAGAAATTAAGCCTGCTATAATCCTATAAACACTTGCCTGGGAGTAAGTCCCATTCAATTGAATAAGGTTTGCTCTTCTGAGTAGGTATGGATACAATTGCACTGTTAACCTGTGAAAGATCCCTCCTAATATTTATTTTTCCCTTTCCATCACGCTTCATTAGTTGAGAGTAGTGAGGCTCTTTGGCCTATTGTGAATAGCATTTGGGAATAGCATTTCAGAAGCTGTAGGGGCAAACAAAAGCAAACTACTTGGCTACACAAAAACAGATGTAGGTCTACTCTAGGGCAGTCAGATCACACAATGTAAGTAGAATTTAATAACCCAAACAGGTAGGGTATGACAACAAAAAGATTAGCACTACCCATTTGTGTGAGAAACACTTGGGGGAAAACCTACAAAAAAAACACATTTTCTTTGCATCACTGAAAAGAGAAAGGACCAACTTTCACAGCAGCTCTGTGGGCAATATTCTGATAATTCTGTCAGCTGCTGAAAAGAAATCCTTACCAACCCCATTATTATTGGGTGAGCATGAGAAAGTTGAGATTGCATGCATGTGAGGGAACCACACAAAACAGCAGGAGCACCTTTCTCCATAGTAGTTCTTACTGCCCAAGAAACAACCTGATTTTGAACTTTAAAAAGCAGATTTGATTTTCAGCAATTAGAACATCCACAGTGAAAAGGGAAACAAAACAAAGATCCAGCCCCACATATAGTTCAATGCCATACATACACATCTTTCCATTCTTTGGATTCTGGCCAAAGATTTTTCAAAGGTCAATTGCACATTATATTTAAATGATCATAATGCTCTCAGCATGTAGCTAATATTTGGCAAAAAATATAATTGCAATTATTTGCTATATAAATATTCAAAACACTGAATGGGGATTTATAAGCAAAAATACAAATGACAATGGTTTTTGTGCTCTCAGTTATATCAATCTTTTTGTGATGCCAAAGCTAATGGTCACTTTACAATTAAGTCATCCATCATCTGCATAGTCTCTTTTAAAGAGAAGATTATGCTTCCACATGTTTTCTATAATGCTGTAAGATTTCCACATGTTTCTAATGCTGTATTCACTTTATACACGCTAGACATGATCAGCCCTTGTTCATTTTATACTAGAACACTGTTAATGGTACTACAGCTGTAGATTTAAAATATTATGTTTTGCAAACAAATGACTTAGTTGGGATTTAAGCTGCCTGTATGTGCAGGACTGCAACCTAATACTAATGCATTAAATGTTAGATGCATAAGAAACACCTAGGAATTCAAAAGCTGTATTTCTGAATAGCAGCTGCTATACTGTTTCAACCTAAAGTGCTAGAATGCCAGCAGTTTTTCATGCACAGAACTTAAGGTACTTAAAATCTGCTTCGTTACTATACACCAGCAATTTTCAAAACAGTTACATTTGACTAGGTAACAGGATATGTTCAAATTGCAGATATAATTACTGCACATCCAAGAAGCTATAAAATGTTCACAAGCAAATCCCTTTGACCTTGTTAATGTCTGCTCCTTGTTAATCTAAGGCAAACATTGTTTGTAGATTGCATTTGTTATAAAATATGAAAAAGGAAGGAAATCCCTTAACAGTTGTTATTGATTCCAGC